GCCAGCAAACCCGCCTTGCCGAGGCGAGGGCGCCGGGCCGACACGCAGAGCGTGCGGCAGCCCCGGCCGGGGCGTTCGAGGCGTTCAGCCCCAGCACAGGAGGCAGAGGAAGCGCTCGGTCGGGTGTGGGTGTAAGCAGAGCTGCAGCTCGTGGAGGCTGGGAGCTGCGTGGCCCTGCTGCTCACTAGGGAGGTGTTCAAGATCCGAACCAATATCTGCTCCCTTGGGACATGAAAGGGAAAAATCAGATGTGTGTTTGGGGACGTGGGGACCTCAGTTTGCCCAGTCTTGCGCTGGTCACGTAGCTCTAAGCGAGGCCTCCGAGATGGGGGTCATGGGCTGAGCCAGAAGAGGCCGCAGTTGCCGTTTTCCGTGGTAGCAGCCGGGGAAAAGGGAACAGGGTGCAGTAATTTCCTATTCTGAGAAATCCAGTTTAAAGCGAATGGAGAACCCGGTCCTTCTAGAAGAGTCACTTTACTGTGATGCTGGAGCAGATGATTCCTGAGCCCAGGAGAAACCCAGGAGCTGAAAGGCCATCCAGGGAAAACTCCCTGCCTCCCTTAGCTTGCCTGCACAGGCGTTGGTGCCGGCCTGAAGACGCGTTGCAGGGGCAGAGGAGCTGCTGGAGCTGCCCGGAGGTGGCACCGCGGTGTTGAGGGCAGCTGTGTCCACGCACTGCGGAGAGGGCGGCCACTGGAGCAGCCCTCGGAGGTTGCTGCGAGATCTGTGTGAAGCAGAACAAGCTCCTTGAGCGGGGCCCAAAGCGGCCTGGGGTGAGGAGAGGCTGTGCTGGCCCCATCTCACACGGGCTCCGCTCTGCTCCTGCAGCAGCGATGGAGACCACGGCTGTTTTCCTGTGGGGGGAAAAAAGCTCTCCGTAGCCGGTCTGTGCTCTACTTGGCAGCATTTGGGTGTTAGAGAGCAGCCCTCGCTCTGCGGTTCTAGTGCAGAATAACCCGTGCTTGTCTCGGCTCAGGGCGAAGGGTGGCTCAGGGCACCGCTCTTGCCTGTGGCTGCCATGAAAACTAGGTAGCAGGATGTGGCAGACGGGTGGGCGCTCTGGATCTGGGGCAGCCTTTCATTTCATCCCAAATCCTGTTCCCAGCGGCTTCAGGCCGAGCCTGGAGGCTCCTCACCCCGTTCCCCTGCCCGCTTCGCTCCTTCCTGGCGTGCCTGCCCCACGTGTCGAGGCCGAGCGCGTAGCTCCGTGGCGCACCGAGGGCATGAGCTTCGGTGGTAAAACCCCGGTTCGGCCGAGCACGAGGAGCTGGGGCCCTGCTTTAATCCAGCTGGTAGAGGGGGGGCAGCCTGTAACACCCCGAGCACTGTGCTCGAGAATGTCATTTATAGGATTCATTGTACCAATGCGCCCTGTATGCTCTGTTCCTCAGCATAAATGACCTCTTACTTAAGTGCTTTTAATTCTTTTACAGAGCAAGCCCACAGAACCAAAAAGGGAATCTCTGCTCCCAGTGAGCAGCAGCTCCAAAGAGAATGGAGTTTCTGTAGAGCAAGATGATCAGGACTTATTTGCAGGTGAGTCTGTATCTCTTGAGAACTTACTGGGGCTTTCTGAAATCTAAGCCTGGAGTAATCTCCCTTCTAGCCACATCCTGCTTATGGCCAGACGGCGCTTATTCGTGTTTATCCCGAGCTCTTATCTCTCTAACTTGTGTTCCAGGCTACCCTGGAAGCGCTGAGCTCTAGTGGTGTCTCTGGGAAGGTCAGAGTAGCCTCCTCCAGGTCTCCTGCAGCAGCAGATTAACTGCTTCGCGGCCAGAGAGGCCTGAAAACTTGGTTCACTTTAGTGTTGTCATCTTAAGCTGTTCAGGCAGCAATGTCCTCCCAGAGATAGAAAGCTTGTGTTGTTCCCACCTCCATGCAGGTGAGTATCTCTAGTTGAGAGACAGCTGTTCATAAGCACCAGGAAACATAATATTCCTCAAAAGGGGAAATGAGAAGGGCCAGTCCTCGCACTGCTCTCCTGTTTCTTGGCTAGGTGAGACCCATCTGTCAGAGCCACCCGAAGGAGTGTCAGTTTTGGAAAATGTTGACCCGCTCTGGGTGGAGAAGTGTACTGGGAAGGCGCCCACCCTCCTGGCTGGTCTATATGCCCTGTAAAATCAAACTTGCTTCTAGCTGTTCCCCTGTGTACTTGCTGCTGCCAGCAGCAGCCTGGATTATCTTGGTGTTCTCCAGCAGGATTCATCACATGCCCTTCCTGCACTGAAAGATGCACCAAGTCGAGTTCTCCTCCATGCTTAGGGTGCCCTGCTGTGGATATTACATTAGATTGCCTGTTGTTACTCCCTAGAGTTCATGAACCCCTCCCAGAACACATGGAAATTACCTTTCCAATAACACAAAGCAGAGAGGCTGACCCTCGCAAACTTCTCTTGACAGATGCCACTGTGGAGCTGTCTCTAGACAGCACCCAAAACAACCAGAAGAAGGAACCGGCCAAAGCATCCAACCCTGCCCCGCCGTTGGACGTAGCCGTGAGCTCCTCTTCTAGAAACCCTCCGAAGAGCTATGAGGAGGTGAGAACTGCTGCGAGCTTTCCAACTTGCCTTGCTGGTTTGGGACTCTGGTGGGCAGAAACCTGTGCATTTATGCAGATGGAAAAAATGCATCTGAAATGATGCAGTGAATGTCATTGACATACTGAATGTCCTAGGGGCACTTATCTCAGGCCGTCAGTCTGAGACTGATGCCACCCAAATGTGTTTGTGGTCAGCCTGACTGTATCCCGGCTCGTGTGGAAGCAGCTGATGTGGCTCTGACTTTGAGCTCTAGCGCCTGGTGTTGCTGCAGGTGGGGCGAGTGGTGTGACTTCTCTGGGAATAAAAACCAACCAAACAAACAAACAAACAAAAAAACTTAAAAAAAAAAAAAAAAAACCTATCCTGAATCTGAATGCAGGGTCCTTAAGTGGAACTTGCAGTCTGGTTCCAGGTAGTCAGGTGGCATTTGGTCCGAATCTTGGCCTTCTCTGTCGGGAGAACAAGCCTGTTTAGGGACAGCAGAACAACCTGTTTCCTTTTGTGCCCTGAGCTTATGAGAACTGACTTTCTGCAGTGTTGTCAGGAGCAGCATCTCAAGTTTGGGCCTGGCTTAGATAAGAAGCCACGCAGAGCTAGGCCGGGGCGCTGAGCTTGCTGATAAGCCGTGACCTTCAGGTGCAAAGGCCCTTTGGAGTCGGCCTTGGCTTCATCCAGCCCTTCAACACCATTCCACCCTTGCAGGACTGCAAGGGGCTCCAAGCAAACGTGAAGCTCTGTGGGTCTGTTGGGGTGGTGTTGCTCACATATTTACCCCTTAGCCTTTAGTCAGTTGGAGACCTGTTCAGCCTGGAGCTGCTGGGTGCTGCTGCGGTTCCTGTCCCCTTGTTGGGTACACAGGGTACCTTGTGTGCTGGTACCTCAAGTGCTTTCAGATGAGAACTGATATAGTGATGTAAAAGAGCTAAAAGGAACTAACTGCGTGCTGAGCTGGGTGAGAGTGGGCTCTGCAGATTTTCACATCAGCACTGTAGCAGTTTGCACTGCCTTCTGTGCAGGTAGCCTTGCTGTAAGGCCAAATCCAAATTGGGATCCCTGGAACAGGTGGCTTCAACACAAACAAGAAACCTAGGGACTTTACAGATTTCCTCAGCCGGACTTAAGTATCAAAGATGCCTTTACACCGTGACAAGCTCACTTTGATCTGTGGAATTCTGTGGTTCACAGCAGATTAAATCCAGGCTTTAATCTACTCTCTGTATGTTCTTACTCCAAACAGTTGGAAGAGGAGGAACAGGAGGACAAATTTGAGCTGACAGTAGGAGTGAGTGACCCGGAGAAAGTTGGTGAGTTAACATCCTGTCCTGCTAACTGATGAAGCTGCATTAGGCAGCCATGCTTGGCGATAGGACTGAATGTGGATGTTATCTCCATGTGCCACAGTTCAAGCTTGATCACTTGCTTCCCCAAAGCTCCTTCCAAGATCTAGAGAAAGTGAAGCTAAACAAAGTAAAAAAACTAAAAATCTATATAAAGTGGGGCAGAAATCCTCTCTGTAAAGCCAAGCACCTCAAAAGCAGGGAGCCAGGAGAACATTTAGGAGGGAGGTGATACCAGCCTCTGCTTCTCCTAGCAGAGCTCAGTGCCTACACAGCTGTGGTGTTGTCCAGCTTCACTTTATCTCCAGGATAAAGTGTGGCTGGTACCAAAGAGGTGAAATGGCCTTAGCTGCACACCAAGCGTCTTGCTCCCTGCTCTGCCATCCAGCCTAGCAGCAGATGTGCTGGTGGGGATCAGAGCAATCTGGCCAGATACGTGTCTGTCTCTGGGGTGCAGAGAGTTTTAGGCAGCATCTGGTCCCAGCCAGCAAAGCAGCCCTGCTTGTGGCAGCTTTTCCAGCTCTTGGCTTACGAGCTGTGGAGCTGGAAGATGTGCTGGAGGTGTTTTAGGCGTAGCACCAGGCTCCTGAAGATGCCCTTGGAGTTGAACCAGCAGGTAAACCCTCCCTTTGCCAAACAAAGGGGTTTCTGTATTAGCTGCAGGAAGCTGCCTGTAATGTCTCAGAATCAAGCCGCATGTAGCCAGGAGCCGTCTGCCTCGTGCCCTCTGAATAGACTCCTTCATGTGCCGCACAGCCGTGGAATTGTTGCGTTCAGAGCAGATGCGTGGAGTTAGCCCAAACGCTGTCAGCGTAACAAGCGACCGATTGTCGGGATTTGCTGCCTTAGGAAGGAAGAGGAGGGCTCGGCAGTCCCGAGCGGCCAGGTCGGCGCAGGGCCCTGCAGCGGATGCTGTGTGGGGTGCAGGGCTCTGTCACTTCGTCGGGACTCGTATCAGAGCCAGTCAAGAAGGCAGGTGCCTGGAGGTCCTAGAGCCCTGCAGTTTGCAGTTCTCAAAACATCCAGGCGGTGCTGGGAAGGGCCAGGTTCGGGGTACTAATACCTTGTTTCTGTTTTCCATAGGCGACGGCATGAACGCATACGTAGCCTACAAAGTATCAACGCAGGTATGTGCCACCTTGCGCCCCCACGATAGGGTGCCCTCTTTCAGGATGCCCAAATACCTCATCACAAGGCATTTAGGGGTTATATTGCACTCCTGCAGACCGAAGGATGAGCCTAGCTGAGAAGCAGGTTTTGAACCTACTTGAGGGAGCACTCCTGGCTTCAGCCAGTCACATCCTCGCAGCCCTGGCTGATGTCCCAGCTCAGCGCTGGGCGAGGGGGAGGAATGACAACCTTTAGGAAAGCCCCAGGCACCAGCTCTGTTGCTAGTAGTTGTGTGCTGATGGTGACATCAGGTTAAGCTGAGCTGTAGTCAGAAGAGTTATTGCTGTAACTAGTTGGCTGTCAGGACCCACTCTGCTGGGCTAGTGACAAGAAACTTGGCCACCAGGAGCCGCTGCCTTGCTTGCTGCTGTGGGCTGCTGTTCCAAGCTCTGCAGAAAAGTTGTTCCTAGGTATCTGTCCATCAACTGTTAGACTCCAGGAGTGGAGGAGCATGGTATGGCCCTGGACTTGAGCAAATTCTGGAGGAGAAATCCAGCAATGCTGCCCCTGCATGGCTGGCTGGCTCTCAGCTTAGGCACTCAAAGGAGTTGACTTGAGTTACGACAGTGACTGCCAACCCTTCTGGGTCTCTGGCAAAGTTGAGAGCTCTTGTCTGTCAGATATTAATAACCCAGTTCAAAGGCTATTTTTCTAGCCCTGGGTCTTACAGCTTATTGCACAGGTTTCCCAAGAACCTTTTGCTTGTACTCAATACTTGTAAAGTGACATTGAAATGGTGATAATTGTGCAACTGATGTGCTGTAGCTGGAGTCTGTATTTTTATGGGATGGTTGCCTCACTGTGAGAGAAGTGAACTGAGAGGGATCGAGTGGAGTTGGTCCTCTAAAGAAAGGGGAATCGGTAGTGGCAGGTATCCAGAGCCTGGAGTGTGGGGGTTCTTCTTGTGTAGGATCCCAGCAGCTGCCACGTTGCACTGTAGGTCCACCACCCCTGTCTAACTGGAGCTGAAAAAAGACTGACCCACTGACTTGCCTGGGATTCCCCGGGTTCTGCTCGATGACAGGTCCAGGCAGCACTGAACTTCCTAGACAAGCTTCATCATGCTGCTAAAACTGCAGCTGTGCACAGGCCTCGACTCGCTGCGTCCGCAACAGAGAGGCTTTCCCACTTGGCGCCTGGCTCTGCCGTGGGTGGTGGTGCGTGGAGCGTAGGTGTCTGTGGCACTGCTCACAGAACTCTGCCGTGGGTGGTGGTACGTAGGTGTCTGTGGCACTGCTCACAGAACGGTGGAGATAGGAATGGGCCTTTATCGTGTCACCCTTGGGTTATCTGCAGAGGTGGCTTCACCTTCAGTCCTGCCTTGGTAGCATTGTCAGAAGCCACTTGTAGTCCTGGGGAGACGAGCTGTAACCCAAGGATGGTCCCCCCTCTTGTGGAGAGCAGGGTTGGGGGGATTAGGGCATGCACAGGGCCTACTGAGATGTCTGTGGCCACAGTATCAGCTGCTCTGTCATTTAATAGCATTAATATTGCTGCTTAGTCCCAGGATAGCTCTTAGGAGACCTCTTAGCCTAGGCCTAAGCTTGCTCGGTTTAGTTTTGCCTGTTCCTCATCCTGCAGACCTCAAGCTGTTCTTTTTCCCCCCAAAACCGATGGCACAAACGATGCTTTTGAGGCTGTGCATGTGGGGGCAGCTTTCCTGGGCAAGCCCAGTCTGACTTTCTTCTCTTTCCCCCAGACGAGCCTCCCGATGTTCAGGAGCAAGCACTTCTCGGTGAAAAGGAGGTTCAGCGACTTCCTGGGCCTGTATGAGAAGCTGTCGGAGAAGCACGCCCAGAACGGCTTCATCGTTCCTCCCCCACCTGAGAAGAGCCTCATAGGTGAGCGCAGAGGTGCCGAGCGCTGCTCCGGAACGGGCCTTTGTGCAGCTGAGCTCCTGCCTGAGCGGGAGGGCCGCAGAGCAGCAGGAGGAGGCTGCTAAAAACAAATTGAACTTTGTGGTGCAGACCAGGCTGGGTGTGCGGGCTCAGCAGGGCTCTGGGCTTAAAGCCTTGAGCTCAGAGAGGGCTCTGCATTCTGCTCGATGGAGTGAAACATGCTGTGCGCTGTAACTGCGTTACTGTTCACTTGAGTCCAGGCTTGTAACCCTTCCAGTCTTGCCTGGCATTGCTCTGCCTCTTCTCTGGTTGTAGTTCTTGCTGATTTGAGATCTAATTTCTATTGTAAAAGCCCAGCTTCTGCAGTCATGCTGATAGCCTGTACTCAGTAACAGCCCTTGCTGCCTTCCGCATCGCTCATCGATTGCATCTTCCTCCTGTGCTAGGAATGACCAAAGTGAAAGTTGGGAAAGAAGACTCCTCCTCTGCAGAGTTCCTAGAAAAAAGACGGGCTGCTCTAGAGAGGTACAGATCCAAACCACTATCCCCTCATGCCTGAGCCAAGCAAGGGACCTCTGAAAGGTCAGACTGGCTGCACTCTCCTCCCTACATGAGAAGCAGTCTGCTTCTAGGTTTGCAGTGAAGCTGAAGGGCACTGAGGACTTACAGCTGCAGAGAGCTGCTTTCACTCTAAAGCTAACTCCTACTTGGAAAGACCATGCAGAGATTTAGTCCGAGTCTGTCCAAACTCCACTGACAACGCAGCTTGTAAAATGGAGCTCTTGCTCCACCTCAAGTGTGGGTGTTTAGCAGTGGTGCAAACAGTGCAGATCAGGCAAGGAACAACTTGGCTTTCCCCAAATTGACACCCTGGCTACACAACCCATCAGTGGCCTCTGCTCTGCTACCTGTACTGACTGCTGTAGATAGCGCTGGAACGCTGTTCACCTCCAGTTTGTCCTCTGGAGGGCTAGCAGAAATGTCTTTGAAGACACCAACTGATGAAGATCCAGTCTTGCATCTTGAGTAACTTGCTGTTGATTGTCCCGAGTGTTAATTGAATGTCTGGCAGGTCTGGCCTTGAAGTTTAGTATCACTAGAGTCTACAGGGAAGCAAGACTCATGCATGATGGGTGGGTGAGAACAGCTTGTTGAGCCTGACTTTCAGCCATTTCAGAGTAACCCTGCAGCTGACTTGCACACACTACAGCTCAGTGGGGTTACTTGGAGCCCAGTTTGCTACAACACAAGTAACTCCTGGTATGTTCTGCTCCGCAGGTACCTTCGGAGAGTTGTCAGCCATCCAACAATGCTGCAGGACCCGGATGTCAGGGAGTTCTTGGAAAAAGAGGAGGTCAGTACTGGGAAGTAGGGTTAACTACAAACACCTTGGAAGCACAGAAGGGGAAACGCTCTCCAAGAAGGTAGCAAGGCCTGACATTTCCAGACTCTTCTCAACAAGAAGCACAAGAAGAGCTGTTATAGCTCTGAACCACCAGTGATAACAAGAAGGTTCTTTTTCTTTTGTGTTAGTGCTTAGATAAGCACAGCACATTGATAATGAGTCCCAGCTTGCTTAAGTCATGTTAGGAGGGGGTACATGGGTAGTCTTTTTCCTCTGGAGTTCATGATAGGAGTTCCTCAATAGCGAGGAAGAACTAGAGCTGGTGTGGCCAGGAGTTAGTCCTGTCACCTGACAGTTGTCCTGTTTGATATCTGCTTGTGCTGAACTTCCAGCTGAGGTTAGAACAGTAGGAACTGAATGAGTTGCTTGGAAATCCATAGGGTGGATGTCCCTGGGGAGAGCTGGCTCCTTATGGCAGTGCATATCTGAGGTGATCCCTGCTGGTTGAGAAATTAGAGCCCCTTTGAGGCTGAGCCCTAGGAAATTCCAGGGGCCGCAGAGGCACCTCTCTCCTGTAGTATCCCTGGAACACAAACTGCTGCTGCCTCTTGGAGAGCTGCTCCCCAGCACCGCTCTCCTGTGCTTGCGTCACCTGCGGCAGCCTGGGCAGCTCTCGGTTCCAGCTGCAGGGATTCAAGTGGCAAGGGTGGTTCTTAAAGTGCCGTGTCACCTTGGTACTAGGGACATGGAAAGGTCAGGAACTCCTTGACTGCCTGGAAACTGCTCAAGTGCCACGTCTCGAAGTGCCACGCGGCTCATGCAGATGCTCAGAGAGTGTGGCTAATTCTTCACCGTGGCTGTGCTGTGTGTCCTGCTGCACACACAAATGCTGCCGGGGGATGCACACGAATACCACAGGGGGAGCAATGGTTGTTCTCAAAGCTGCTTTCATCTCCTGACAAAGCAAACCTTTTTTTTTTTTTTTTTCTTTTTGTCGCTTCTTTATAGCTGCCAAGAGCTGTAGGCACCCAGGCCCTGAGTGGAGCGGGAATACTGAAGATGTTCAATAAAGCCACTGATGCTGTCAGTAAAATGACTATCAAGATGAATGAATCGGACATAGTAAGTGCCAGGACACCTCCAGAGTGTCCCTTTTCCCTGCTTCGGAGCTGTGTGTGCCCACCAGCTCGAGCTCTGGCCGTGGGCGCCGTCTGTGAGAATCAGCTCTGGGCTCGTGCGTTTCAGTGGTTCGAGGAGAAGCTGCAGGAGGTGGAGTGTGAGGAGCAGCGGCTCCGCAAGCTGCACGCCGTCGTGGAGATGCTGGTGAACCACAGGAAAGGTAACGAGCGCGGGGCCCCTTGCGCCGTGGCTTGAGCCATGACGCAGTCGAGCCGTGGCCAGGCCTGAGCAGAGGTAGCTGGTACACAGGCCTCTGGGAGGCACTTTGGGAGGAGGTGATGCTGCTCTCTTGCCCTAAGCGACTCTTGGCCCCTTCACTGGGGGCAGTGAAGGTAAAATGATGACCCCACTTCTAAGCTGGTAGGACTGGACAGGATTGTGGTGTTAAAGTGAATCAAGGTGCTGCTGAGGGAAGCAGCACCTTGTGGGAAAAGCCAAGTCGATCTTACTGTTGATTCCAAGCTATTCTCTGGCAGGGAGCGGGGATGTTTTCCTTCCTCTGCATGTTTTGGCTGACTTCTGCGAATCCGTGCCTGTCCTCCCACTCTGCCACTTCCCTTCCTCCTGGCTGGAGCTGCCAGCCCTGCTCCCACCATCCCATCCCACGGGATAAAAGCTGTTCCCAGAGCAGCCTCCAGGCCGCTGGGTTGACTCTCTTGTTCCATTCCCCAGAGCTAGCGTTGAACACAGCGCAGTTTGCAAAGAGTCTGGCCATGCTGGGGAGCTCGGAGGACAACACGGCCCTGTCCCGGGCTCTGTCCCAGCTGGCTGAGGTGGAAGAGAAGATTGAGCAGCTGCACCAGGAGCAGGCGAACAGTGATTTCTTCCTCCTGGCCGAGCTCCTGGGAGACTACATCCGCCTGCTGGCAGTTGTGAGGGTAAGCGCTGCCTCCGGGCACGCGCGGAGCCGGGCTCTGGGTCCCAGTGCAGCTCCTAGGCCTGGGAATGCTGGGATGCAGCCGGTTCTCTAAGTGCAATGCGGAGCCCTGGGTCTCTCTCATCTCTTCAGGCAGAGGGCAGACTTGCTGCTTGTTGAGTTGTGCATGTGTTGGACTCGGATCAGCAAGGTAGGTGAGGCCGGTCTGTGCTGTTCTCCAAGGGGGATATGGAGCATTTCTGTGGCTCGTAGGGTGTCTTCAGCCGTTCAGAGGCTGCAGCTCCTGCAGAGGCTCTAAATCAGTGACCTGAGTTACAAATAGCCCTGGTGAGCCCTGCTGGGCAGTAGCCAGAGCTTTGGAGCACATGCGGCCTGCCTGGCAGGCACTGTGTGTTGCTGGAGACTGACAGGAATGAGTCCCGAGGGAGCCGGGAGCCTGCAAAGCTGTTAACTGGCTCCTGCCCAGACCTTGACCTGTCTCCAAGCAGCCAGTTCTTGGGGTTGCAGAGACCAGAAAAACAAAAATAAAACAAAACCTGAAAAACTATTAAACAGTTACAAAGCGGAGGCTGAGTTCCGAGGTCTGACACAGCCTCAGCAGTGTCTGTGCTCCAGAGCAGGACAGGCCTCTAGGGCTGAAGGTAATAGGATGCATCTGGGATATTCCAGCATCACTGAAGGCTTCGCCTGCTTCTCGGCTGCTCTGTCCTGGCCTGCTTGTGCACGCTGCTCTCTGCCTGTCCTGCTCAGCCCCCAGCCTAGCTGGGTGATTGAGAAGTCTAACGGACCTTTCGTGCTTGGGCTAGTGGTTGTCCATCTGCTAAAGTCATCGGCCTCCTGCCAAATGCCTGGCCTGGGGTGTGCGAGCACTGGAGATGCCGTGCGGAACCGGCCGAGGCCCCGTGCACCGAGACGAGCAGAGCTCAGCGACGGGCCGGGCTCCGTGCTGGGAGGCTGCCGGCTCCGCAGGCACCTTGGGGCTGTCCCGGCCCTGCTAGGCTGCGCGCTCGCAGGAGGCAGAACCCCCTGCTAAACCCAGGGCCGTGCTGCCACCCCCGAGCTGGGCGGCCTCCAAAGCTGCTGCTGTGGGACTGGGTGCTCGATGCAGCAGCTGGGCTCCTTCCCTAGTGGGGCAGCAGGGAGAAAAAGTCCTCCTTGATGTGGCCTGTGAGCGGCTGTGCTTGCACGTGGCAACTCTGCCTCCGCTGCTGCCTTTCAGGGAGCCTTTGACCAGCGCATGAAGACCTGGCAGAGGTGGCAGGATGCCCAGAACATGCTGCAGAAGAAGAGGGAGATGGAGGCCAGGCTGCTGTGGGCCAACAAGCCCGACAAGCTTCAGCAGGCCAAGGAGGAGATCTCGGAGGTAGGCAGCGAGGAGCGGCGGTCCCTGCGCTGCTCCACGCGCGACTGCGCGGTGCAGGGGCTGTTCCCCTTCCCTTCGGACAAGCTGTGCTCCGGAGGCGCATCCACGCACGGAAGGTTTCATCTCCCCTGCCCTGGAAACAGCCCACTTCCTCTCTCTGCAGTGGGAGTCTCGTGTGACACAGTACGAAAGGGACTTTGAGCGGATTTCTGCTGTGATCCGCAAGGAAGTGATACGGTTTGAGGTAAGTTAGTCCTAACTCTTAAGCTCCTCTTGAGCCTGGGAGGAGACTGCAAGGCCTGAGTTTGTCTAGCTAAACTAAAGACAGACCCGCAGAGATCCTTGGAGCCTGCTCTGTCGTGCTGCCCAGCAGCTCAGTGTGACCCATTTTCATGTTCTCATGCTGCTGCTGGTCACTTGGTGTGGCAACTTGGTCCCAGGAGGAGCAGGAAAGTCTTGTCCCATCCTCAAGCTGGAGGGCCTAGTTCAGACTTGTACTTACTGTCTCTTGCAGAAAGAGAAATCAAAGGACTTCAGAAACCACGTGACTAAATACCTTGACACGCTACTGAACTCTCAGCAACAGGTCAGTGTCCTTGTCTGCTTGCAGCCACTTGTTCCCTTGTCCAAGCGGTGCCGACAAGTCCCCTCTGAAGAGGGGCTTGTGCCGTCGATTCCAAGCAGTGCGAGGGGGCCCCAGGCCCCATGGGGTGGGTGGGGATGAGCCCTGAGGGACTGGAGCCTCCACCTGAGGCCAGTGCCTGACAAGGCAGCTCCTTGGCTCTGGCTTCGGGCTGGCTTGTGGGCTGCGTACGAGAGCCCTTGGTGTCCACCAAGGCGGGGTTTCTGCCTCTGCCAAACAGTTTTCAACTCAGCGTGTAGAAAGCTCCTGCCTTAGAGCCTGAGCGGTGGCAGAGTGACTGCAGCGCCTGACTCTGCTCTCTCTCCACAGCTGGTGAAGTACTGGGAAGCCTTCTTGCCCGAAGCCAAGGCAATTTCTTAATGGGACCAAGCAGACGAGAGTACCTGAACTTTGCCTTTTTATACACTATACCTCTGTCTTTTACACACGAACGACTCGTAGTTAAACACTCTGGAGCGAGTAGAGGTTTAACCCCCAAGCAAGCAGCTTACAAGCCAGTAACTCTTCTAACTGTATATTTTTCATTTAGCTACATATATTTTCTTACTGAAGAGAAACTAGTTTCCTGCTTCAAGACCAGCCCTGCAGTAGGTGAAGAGTGACAGAGGGGTTAATAACACATGTAAATGTGTATTTTTCAGCCTGGGTTTTAGGGCTCTAATGACTATCTTACTCCTGCGGTGCCATTAAGATTATGTAATAAAACTTGTATCAGGGCAAACAGGCTTGTTCTGTTGCTTATGGGAACTGCTTGGGAGGGGGAAGAGGGGGTGGAAAGAGCGGGGAGGTGCCAGCAGCTCCTGCGCTTGCCCGTCCAGCCGGACTCCGAGCTCTGCAGGTGGCTGCAGAAGGAGGCAGCGGTTCCTCCAGCTTCCAGGGGAGCGAGGTGGTGTTTTGGAGAAGCCCATGACCTTGGGGAGGCTGCCTTGAGCCATCTGCCTTGGCTTCTGATTAAACTTTATCCTCAAAGCGCTGTGGAAAGCTAAGGATAGGCTGCTGTTTGGAGCCAGCTCTAGGGGGAGCAGAAAGTGCCCAAGGTAGCACTGACCTGTCCTAAAGCTCTGGCGCTGCTGCAGGGGAGCAGCTCTTGCTCCTTCACACCCTGTTTCAGGTGCCAGATGCTCCAAGATGCTGGTGCAAGTTGCAGGCTTGGGGCAAGGCCAGGTGCTTCCCCTTCCCCATAGGCTTGGGGATCCCTGGGACCCACAAGAGGGCTTGGTGGAGCAGTGCTGGCTCTATATGCCCCCAGCATGGGCTTCTCCTGGCTGGGCTCAAGGGGGAAACCCTTCTTCAGGCCTTGCTGGAGAACAACCTGCTCCATGGAAGACCAGCTGCTGCCAGGGCTGGGGTGACTGGAGCTGATAGCAGGGGAGGCTGCCAGAGCCCAGGGTGGCCCTGGTGGCCGGCAGCAGCCCTGGGGGCTGGTGGAGGGCCTGGGGCAAGTGCAGGACACCCAGCCACCTCCCTGTCTCCTGAGGAAGGGTCTACGGTCACCT